AGCCTATTTTAGAACTTTTTAATGTTTTAATTAATTGAATAGTCACTATTTCTTATTTGAATAAAAGATATTGATATTACATCGTTCAAACAAAAATGTGCATGTATTTTTTCAAAAGTGCACATTTCATTTATGTGCGTAAGTACATATTAAGTAATAACAAAATAAAAATAAATATTACATTTTAGTCCATAAACTACATAAAATCATAGATTCATTACATAAAAAACTGGGAAATTGTCGATTGACTTTAGTTTTATTTTAAATTTTTTTCAGTGTCAGTACCTTTTTCATCAATAGTTTTCATGTTTTTATCAGTCTCCAAGGGTTTCTGACAATTCAAATAACGAACCTAAACCACTGCGCAAACCAAACTAAATTTGTGCATAACAATCACATTTTGTGCGGGAAGTCCCCTTTTTCCATTTAGTAGTCCGCCTATGAGGAGTTCGCGTCCGCTCAACGCAGGTTTTTGTTTGATTTGTTATGAAAAGAAATCTTAATGTCCGTTGATAAGAGGTTCGCGTCCGCCCAATAGAGTTTTTGTGTCAATTTTATGCAAAATAACTGTCCGCGTCCGGCCAAGAGAATGTCCGCTTAAGAGAGAGTAATTTGTTCCGAAATTTATACTTAAAACTTGGTATAGGAAAAAATGTTCGCCCAGGGGAGGTGTCCGTCTAATAGAGGTATCCGTTAGGAAAGGTTTCACTGTATATAAACGAGTTTGTGAAAGGGGGCGTGGCATATCCCATATTCGTTGAAATTTTTATCAGCTATAACTTCGGAACCATATGTCGCATCAACTTTAAATTTGCTATGCAGTTACATATATACATATTTGGTAGGTGCTTATAATAAGGTCTATATAAATGGGTTTGTAAAAGGGGGCGTGGTGCATCCCATAGGCGTGGATTTTTTTATCATCTATAACTTCGGAACCATAAGTCCCTCGAACTTGAAATTTAATATGCTGACATATCAATACTAGGTGCTTATCGGAGGGTATATATAAACGAGTTTGTAAAAGGGGGCGTGGCACATCCCATAGGCGTGGAATTTTTTATCAGGTATAGCCTCGGAACCATAAGTCGCACGAACTTGAAAATTGTATGCAGGTGTTGCTAGGGTAGGTGGTTATAATAAGATAAATATCAATAAGTTTGTAAAAGATGGCTTGGAAATTCCCATAGGCGTGAACATATTTATCAGCTATAACTTCAAAACCATGTCACATGGAATTTAAATTTGGTATGCAGACATATCTATGGTTGGTGCCTATAGGAAGGTATATATGAATCAGTTTATGAAAGGGGGCGTGGCACATCCCATAGGCCTGGAATTTTTTATCAGCTATATCTACGGAACCATAAGTCCCACGAACTTGAAATTTAGTATGCAAACATATCAGTGGGAGGTGCTTATAGGAGGGTATATATAAACGAGTTTGTAAATAGGGGCGGCGCATATCCCATCGGCACGGAATTTTTTTATCAGCTATAACTTCGGAACCATATATACCCTACTATACCCTACTATAAGCACCTACCATTGGTATGTCTGCATACCAAACTTCAAGTTCGTGTGACTTATGGTTCCGAAGTTATAGCTGATGAAAAATTCCGCGCCTATGGGATGTGCCACGCCCCCTTTAACAAACTCGTTTATATGTACCCTCCTATAAGCACCTACCATTGACATGTATGCATACCAAATTTCAAGTTCGTGTGACTTATGGTTCCGTAGATATAGTTGATAAAAAATTCCGCGCCTATGGGATGTGCCACGCCCCCTGTTACAAACTTGTTTATATATACCCGCCTATAAGCATCTACCATTGACATGTTTGCATACCAAGGTTCAAGTTCGTTGGACCTATGGTTGCGTAGATATAGCTGATAAAAAATTCCACGCCTATGGGATGTGCCACGCCCCCTTTTGCAAACTCGTTTATATATACCCTCTTATAGGCACCTGCCATGGATATGTCTGCATACCAAATTTCAAGTTCCTGTGACTTATGGTTCCGAAGTTATAGCTGATAAAAAATTCCACGCCTATGGGATGTGCCACGCCCCCTTTTACAAACTCGATTATATATAACGGCCTATAAGCATCTACCATTGACATGTCTACATACCAAGTTTCAAGTTCATGTGACTTATGGTCTGGAAGTTATGGCTGATTAAAAATTTCACGCCTATGGGAGGTGCCACGCTCCCTTGTCGGATCCCAATTTTTTTCACCCTGTTATAGGCCCAGGTGTAATGGCAATACTCTATCAACATTTTGTTCGATTCTGCCCGTCCGTTTAGACTACAATCTGGCACATACATACATACATACATACATAGTTTCACAAATATATAGTAGATTAAATTTCTTGAGATTTCTAATTTTTAGGACAATTTCCAAAATTTCAAAAACTATCGAAAGCTGG